AGAGAGAGAGAGAGAGAGAGAGAGAGAGAGAGAGAGAGAGAGAGAGAAGGGATTGGGAAGGGAAGAAGGAGAGGAAGAAAGAGAGAGAGTCTGTAAGTGTCTCAGATGCCAATCCCTGTGAAAGTGAGGGGGGTGACGATGGAGGCAGATGGAGAGGCAGACACAGCTGGGAATCGTGTACAAGGTGCAGGGGGTGGGTTTGTCCTGTAGAATTTGCATGGGGCCAGGTAGTTCTTGCCACTGTGGCCTCCGATTGGCTGCCTGCCCTGGCAAGTCTCGGAGGAGGGCACTGAGCCATCAGCTTTGTCCAGGAGCCCGGTGCCCAGCTCAAAGGCAGCACTTAATAAATAAACTTTAGTGACCAGTCAATCAACCTGCCCATGGAAAGGAAAGGAACTTGGAGCACCCCATGCTCCCCCAGAGACTCACTCCCATAGAAGTCAAGCAGATGATCCCTGGGAAAGGAGAGGTGGGCCCTGGCCTCTGTCTACAGAACCCTGCAGGCCTCTCAGGCCCTGTTCTTACTGCAGCTGTGTAGGGAAGGGAGCAAACTCGTGGTAGATCCGTGACTCTGAGGAGGGAGGGCCCTCAGAAGCCGTGGAACTCAACCCCCTCATTCTACTGAGGAGGAACTGAGGCGTGGGGAGGTCACAGGATTTTAGATTTAGAGCTGTGTGTGACCTCACACATCACTGAATCCAACCTACAGATGAGGAAACTGAGGCTGAGGTAGATTGATTTACCCACAAATCGACATGAATTCGACTGAAGGACAGTCCTTTACCCCATCCGCACCTTCCCCTCAAAAGATGACAATTCAATAATTCAAGTCAATAAATGTTTATGGAGTGTGGGAGGCAGAGGTCTCAGACTAGATACTTTCATATATACACACATGACCATATATGTATAAAGGGGTTTTTTTTTTCCCCTGGGAAAGCAGACGCCCTCTCCTATTTCCATAGCAAGTGGGGTGTGTGGTTGCACTTGAAGTTCAGGAAGATGACTGATCCTGGTCGGGGTCTGCTGTTACTAGGCGTGTGTCCCTGTGCCTCAGTTTCCTCCTCTGTAAAGTGAGGGGTTGGTAGCAGAGGACCTCTCTATGCTCTTCCCACTTTGTTGGGAGATCAGGTACAAAAACAAAGTGGGAACCATCCTCGCCCTTGAAAGGCTCCCCTTCTACAGAGAGGGGATTGGAATGGGGAGAGAGAGTGCCCCGCACTGAGGAGAATCAGGGAAGGCGTCAGACAGGAGGCGGCACCCGAACCAAGCCTGGAAGAAAGAGACGGATGTGAAAAAGAGAGGATGGTGGTACTGTGGGGGAGGTCTAGGTGCAGGCATCAGCTGGAGTGGGTGCCTGCAAGTGAGAGATGGAATTCAAGTTTCTGTGTCCAGCAGGGATCTGTGTGGTTGGAATAACGCCGAACCTTTGCCCAGGCTGTGCCCCTTGCTGGGAGTGCTCTCTCTCCTCACCTCTATGGTCTCCAGTTACTTCTGAGATTCGTTAAGGAACCTACAAGAATCCTTCCCCATCCTCCCTGGTTGTTTGGGTCCTCTTTCTTTTAAAATTATTGTGTACTTAGACCCCAGTAGAATGCAAGTTCCATTTTTTTCATCCTTTTTCACTTCTTTGTCTCCAGGGTCTAACACAAAGTCTTGCACATCGTAGGTGCTTAATGCATGTTTGTTGACTCAGATTGGACAGAAAGAACAGGCAGGGAAGGCATGAGAAATGAGGCTGGAGAGGTTGGGAGTTATTGGACTGTGGGAGGCCTGAAATACCAGGCTGAGGAATGGATATTTTACCCTCGAGACAAGAGGGAGTCTGATCGATGTCTGAGCTGGGAGAGTGACATAGGCAGACCTTTGACTTAGACAAATTCCTTTGGCAATGGTATTGGAGAACTGGAAATGAGGAGGTCGGTTGGGAGACTACTGGGGCAGTCTGGGGGGGAAATGAGGAAGGCTTGCACAAGGGAGGTGCATGGATGAGTGGAAAGAAGGGATGGATGGAGGGTGCTGTGCAAACAGTGAATGAAATTATTTTGAGCTGGGGGGTGAATGGAGTTGTGGGTAAAGAAACAGAGAAAAAGGAAAAATCAGCAACTTGAGCTGAGGATCAAGGAACAAAGTTGTAGGTTTGGGCACCTGGGACTGACAGTCTGGGGTGGCCAACCTGGCTGCCTCGGAAGATGGCGCTGCCTTGGACAGATGCAAAAATGAGGAGGAACCGTGACCTAAGAAGCAGGAGAACCCTGAGTTCTGTTTTGAGTGTGTTAGGTTTGAGAGGCCTATGGCACGTCTAGGGGGACAGTCCAGCGAGCATTTGGTGACACGGTCCTGGTCCTGGAGCTTGGGAAAGAATTACAGCTGGCTGTATAGACCTGGGAGTCTCTCCATGACAAAGGGGGCACCCATAGCCTGTGAGATCTGCATTCACCAGGTTCCGTTTGAATGGAGTCCAGGCAGATTTAAACTCCCTCCTTCCTTGAAGCTGGCTGCTCATTCATTCACTCACTGTCATTCACACATCCGCCAATGCACTTGCTACTTCATTCCCTCATTCATTTTTCACTCATTCATTCACTCAACCATAAATTTCTAGCTACTAGGCTGGGGGTCCATGGGAAAACAAAGATCAATGAGACACTGTCCCCTGTCCTTGGAGAGCTTACAGACCTAGAAGGGGGATAGAACATGTCCATAAATAACTCTGATAGGAGGCAGAGAGGCAGGTTGCCTCAGGAGGTAGTGAGCTCACCATCCTTGGAGGTATTCCAGTGGACAAGTTGGATCACTGCTAGTTGGGATTATGGAAGAAGAGATTCCTTTACCATAGTGAGTTGGACTGGGTGGTCTCTGAGAGAGTCTGTGACCTGAAATCTTATCTCATGGGGGTTCAGTGTGAATCAACAAGGCCCATGTCAGCCAATGGGATCTTGGGCTGTGTTAAGAGGCACTTGGCTTCCAGGCATGGGGTTGGGGGGGATTGTCCCACTGTCCTCTGCCCTCATTAGACCTCCCCTGTAGCACTGGGCTCCATTCGGGGTCAGGCAGCTTAAGGACAGGGATAAGCTGGAAAGCAACCAGAAAAGGGGGGCCTTGAGTCCGGGCCCTAGGAAATGGGGGTGTTGGGCCTGGAGAAAAGAAGCCTCAGAGGGCCAGGGCAAGAGAGCTGGATTCGAGGATTTGCAGGAAATTAGGCTTAGAATAGGAGTGTGAATTGTCTTACATTTGCCTAGATGGCAGAACCAGGAACAATGAGAATTTACAACGTATTTTCAACATAGCTAATATTAACAGCTAACATTTCTGTAGGACTTACTATGTGCCAGGCACTGTGCTAAATGTTTTACAATGATCATCTCATTTGATCCTCATGACAACCTTGGGAGGTAGGGGCTATTTATTTTCCCCATCTTACAGATGAGGAAACTGAGGCAGACTGAGGTTAAATTACTTGCCCAGGGTCACACAGCTAACAAGTGTCTGAGGCCAAATTTGAACTGGGTCTTCTGATTCTAGGCCCAGCGCT